ATCTCTAACATAACTAAATTATTCCAATAACTCTTAATAAGATATATCCTTCCTCTCCTTCTATATCCCTTTATCCTCAGGGCTCAAAGCTTACCTAAACTTGTAAAATAAATTGGATATTTATACAAATGTCACTTATAGATTCTACCTGAAATTCATTCCTTACACCTTAAGTTTTTGTTAAACATTTACTTGGTATGCTGTTTCAGAGAATCAAGGGAGTCAAAAACCTTGCTGTTTTAAAACAAAAGAGACCCTTTATAAATCCTAATTCATAATACTTCATAAACCTGAAACCTGAAGTTCATGTTCCTCTTAAAATTGTTTTTACCCTTGTTTTTTTCATTTCTATGGAAATGTGGATAAGAGGGAGGTGGTTTGCAAATATTTGTTAAAGAAAAGATAACTTACTGACAACCTGAGACTTCCTGGTTCACAGCACAGATGTGGAGCTTTCCACAGTCTACACAATGCCAGGCAAAAGTGTGTGCTCAATGCAAGAGTCACCACCTGAGCATTTAGTCGGTGGCATCCAGATGATTATTTTGATTCAGCACATTTTCTATTAATTTTATCCCATTTACAATGCAAACGGGTGACTTCTTGGTTAAATTATTGTCATTTTTCTGTCAATTGTTGCACCCTTTTGCCCAGACATTTTGACATTATACTGACCTTTAAATTTAAGTCTTTTGTAAACAAAAATGAAATTTGGAAGAAGCAGTAGTGTCCTCACTCTCTTGACACATATTAAAAGGGAGAGAGAGCTAGTGTTGAGGTGCCTCAATACAGATGAACTGTAGGTCGTTGAACAGAAAAAAATGCTTTTGAGCTCCTCCCTAGGTGTGCATCAAGTTTATGCTCTATCATTAAATCCTTAATTTCAGTGTTTGTTCTAAAATCAATGGAAAAATTTAGCTATAAATCCATGTAAATAAAATATAGTAAAATCAACCTAAAAGGAAAATCAAAGCAGTAAAGAAAAGTTTCAATAAATTGTGCTGGGTCAATTAAGCATATTTTCTGAAATGCTAACATGTTCTTAGAAATTACATTTTAAATTGTAGTATTTCAAAGTAGACATCATAAGGGTAAGAAAGTGGGACTGAAAGAGTAAATGTATAAGAAGAAGAAAAGAAACAAAAACTTGATGGCCTTTCTAACTGACTTTTGATGTTCATTACAGAGTAGATATCCAGTTCATACTACAGTTTTAAATAAATAAAATGATAGAGTTTATAAAATTTTAGGTACAGTATGATCCAATTTTAATTTTTTAATCTACATATGTATTTTTAAAATCTACACATACATGAGAAGAAAAAGACTTGAATATATATATATATATATATATATATATATATA